ATAGATAATCGATTGAATTGGTCGGCTCATATCTCACAACTTAAGAAAAATCTTGATAGTTTCATTATTTGTTATTCGCCAACTAGCAAGGGTTGTCAACTTTGAAACATTCAAAATGACATTTTTCTTTATTTCACTCTCACCTAAACTATGGTGTAATCACATGGGGCAATTTATCAAACGCACTTTAAATTTTTGGAATGCAAGAAAGCTATCAGGATTTTAGCAGATTTTAGTTATCTAGAACAGGGGTGCTCAAACTTGAACTGCTGGCGATCTACCTCAATATTTTTAGACTACTTACGATCGACTCTGAGAGACTGCAAGTGTGTGTGATGCAGGGTTGTCGTACATACACGATACACCCTACCTACCTAGGTAGGGCGTACCGTAGCATATATAGATATTAGCTTTCTGCACAATATAGGTACATTATTTTAGTCAAGGTTTGGGTTAGGTTTAGTTAGGTTCTTCTCTACAATATCAATGAAAAAACTCATAGTTATTCAAAATTGCGAGTTTATTTGTTGTTACAAAACAAAAGAGTTACATATGGTGTTAAACTTAACTAAGGAGTGGCTTTGGATGTTGAAGCGTGGCACTGCATGTCCTCAGCATACTTTTCATAAGATGGTACGTAACCACTGAGTGCTAATCGCAAGCATGATGTCATATGATCGTCAGTTAGTCGATTGCGATATTTTGACTTAATTATCTTCATTTCAGAAAATGCAGACTCGCACAAGTAAGTTGACCCAAAAAATGCCGTCAGTTGAAGGGCGATTTGCCTTACATTCGGATATTTATCTTCAGATATAAAACGCCAGAAATTTGTATCAGATACTGTAGCTTTGAGATGTATATCTGATATAATCTGCACCAACTCATTTTCAACAGAACATGAGTTCATATTAAACTGACTTGCTATTTCAGTAGCTAATTCCTCAATGTTTTTACATGAAAAAGGATAACTCATAAATGATGCTATATTTTCCAATTTACTGCAATCATAAAAACGCATTTCGAATTGTCCCAAAATATTTGATAATTCAGCCTCATACGTATCATAATTCAACTGAGGAATCCTTGCTTTCAAAGACGGAAAATGTTTCAGATCCTTTCTTTTCAGTTGATCTATCATAAGTTGCAATTTACTTTTGAATGCGTTTACTGCGCTAATCATCTCAATAATAGTTTTTCCTTTACCTTGAAGCTCCAAGTTAACGGTGTTTAAGTGCATTGTGATGTCAGTCAAAAATGCCAAATCATTTAGCCATTTTTCGTTTTTCAAAATCTGAGTGTCATCACCTCTTTCGTCTAGAAAAGCTGTTATTTCGGGCAATAATTCTTGAAACCTTTCTAGGAATTTTCCGCGACTCAACCACCTGACGTCCGTGTGAAGAACTAAATCAGTGTGTTCAGCTGACTCCCTATCTTCCAACTGCAACTGAAAGAGCCGCCGTTGCAAGCTACGTGCACGGATGGAATTCACAATTTTTGTTGCAATGCCCATAATTTCCTCCGTGTTTAAAACTTTTGAACACAAAACTTGTTGATGTATAATGCAATGGAATGAAAAAAATGAAGGGAATTCTTCATTAGCTCGACACAATGCCACAAAACCGTTTTTGTTTCCAGTCATTGCTGGTGCTCCATCGGTTGTAATGCACATTAATTTATATATTGGTAGCTCGTAGTTTTTTACAAAATTTAAGAAAACGTCATATATATCTTCGCCACGGGTCTTCCCCTTCAGAGGAATGATTGTCAAAAATTCTTCCTTAGCCAACATGTCATTGAATACCATCCGAATAAAAATACACAGCTGGGCAGTGTCTGTCATATCGATGGATTCGTCGAACTGTAAAGAAAAGTATGTACATTCCATGATATCATGTTTTAGTTTATCTGCGATGTCTTGACTCATGACTTCAATACGCCTTGTGACAGTCGGACGAGATAACTGAAGTTCTCTAATAGCAGACATGATTTCTGTTTTATTTTTAAAATCTCCAAATAAAGTCTCACCCGCTTCAATAAATGCTTCCTTCACCACCGATCCATCTTCAAATGGTTTCTTGTGTTTCGCCAAAATATGAGATATTTTAAATGACGCGATCGTAGCAGCTTTTGATTGTTTGGCTGGTCTTGTGAACATGGATTGTTCTTTTTTCAAACAAGATATCAAATCACTTACTTTTCGTTTTCTTAATTCACTCTGTGGCGGAAAATCCTTTTCATAGTTTTTATGAACCGTTTTATGATGCCTCTCTAAGTTACCACGCTTAGGTATTGCAACTGACGCACGACAAATAACACAAATGCACTTATCCTTCACCATAGAAAAGAAAAATTCTTCCTCCCAATCCTTATTAAAATGATACGTTTTAGATTTCTTCACTGCACTCATTTTCCACTATTTAATAATAAACTTTGTATCGACGTAGGATCGCTATCAAGTTACAATTCAGAATAACTCCAATTCCTGCAGGCGCAACATTTATATCGGCGTGAACGAAAGTCTCGAATGTTTCCGTCAAACGCGCCGCCCGAAACTAGACTGTACTGTCTCTCGTCTAGAAACAACACGGCTTTTCTTTGACAAGTGCCGCGCGTTCCTTTGATAAAGCCACCTTTTGCCGCAAGCAGTGTTATTTTATTACGTAATACATTTTTGTAGTTGATAGAATATCATCCCAAATTTGATTAATAATTATAATAAATATTGAATTAATAAAATAATTAGTTAATATATGTAAATATAAAATATGCTGTGTGGACAGTATTTTGTTGTCCCCACTTCTTTGAATTGCAATGATGCTTAGTCAAGCATTCTATGTATTTGTATAGTTCAGTATTAATAAAAACGTTTAACTCTGCTGACAGTAGTTTAGTTACCTACCTACTTATTAAAATTTTTTTTCTTCTCGAGATCTACCCAAAAAGCACTCGCGATCGACCAGTCGATCGCGATCGACCGTTTGAGCACCCCTGATCTAGAACATTACCGACCTTTCTTTATCAAATGCAAAATTATGCCGCTAAATGCTCTACTTATATTTCAAGTTCTAACTGAAATTCACAGAAAACTTGCTCATTTAATAAAGTAGTCTTATGTCCTCGTTCACAATACACGAAACTGTCACTACCTCCGATCAAATCGCTGAGGACTGCGACTTTCAGATAAAAATTACCTTAATTATAACTATTACAATATTTTACCAAAAATTATTAAACAACTAATCTGTAATAGTTTCGATAAAGTTATAAAAAAATATCGTCTGAAACATTGTTTTCACTGCTCAGAAGAATATAGATGACTTATTGCAGAACATCCACTGAACTGCTTACCGTAACTTTGCCATAAGTATTTTTCTGTTTTAATGTGTTCTTGTTTATATATAATATATTTAAGTTACGTTTTATATTCCTTTTTTGTATACTATGTATTTTTTTAACTTGCTACAAACAATATTTGTATTTGTTATATAGTTAAATAAATAACTCTAATTATAAGGCAGGCGCCACACATGGGATCCAACGTTGGCTCCAACGTTGGGTCAACTGTTCGGTGAGGCATCCACACATTGGATTGAGTATTGGGTGATATCAGTCTGTGGCGCCAACCCTTTGATGTGTACGTAAAAACCGACAGTTCACGGAAAACTCCCAACGTTGAAGCTAGTCATAAAAACGTTGGCGCCAACATGTGTCCCAACACAGTTTTGTCGGTACACACATTGGACGAACTTGTTGGGGCCAACGCTGGCCCCCATGTGTGGCGCCAGCGTAAGCGATGTACTCGATGTCGTAGGGCAATAGCTGTAAGGCGAGGTTGCCGCCCCTTCCTGTGTTTCTGAGAATTAAATAAACAGTTAAATTGGGGTTAAAATTGACCCCGCCATACAATTAAGGTTTAAATCGTTTTTTATCTGTGACGAGTACAGTAAAACCTCTTTTCACCGAAACCTTTTTAACCGAAACATCGTTTAACCGAAACAGCTGACAGTTTCAATAATTTTGTCAATAAAAAGTAAATTTTTATTGTAAAACGTACACAATTTCATTAATTTCACTCACCGATTGATGCCGACGTGTGTTGGGAAATCAAAAAACTAAGAGCTCTAAAAGATATTTGAGCACTTCCAGTTTTTTATAGAAGCCAAAAAAGCTCATGTATGTCGACCACTTTATTTTCAGAATGGTTCGAAAATGAATTCATGCCAAGTGTAACATTCTTTTTAAAATAAAAAACCTTCCCATCAAAGCAGTGTTGCTTGTTAACAATGCGCCAACTCACCCTCAAAGTCTACACAATTTTTGCCACTGAATGTCTTGAGCTTAATTCAGCTGTTAGACCAGGGAGTAATAGAGATATTCAAGAGACATTATAGAGGAGCATTCTTAAGATATCTGTTATTACAGGAGCTGAATTAATTCAAAAGTGTTCCCGAAATTTTCAAATCTTCAACAATGAAACAGGTTGTTTATAGGTGTGCTGAGTTCTAGGCCAAGATAAACTCTTTAACTTTGGAAAAATGCTGGAACTAACTTTTTGATTGGATTTTGATTGACGATTCTGAAGAAGAAAATGGTAAAGAAACGAAAGATGAAATTAAACCTTTAATAAAAAATTTGCCGTGATGTTCATGCCGTGAAAGCATGGTAAACTTGTTCATTTTCCTTAATTTTATTACTTTATTCTGTATTTACTTATTAGAAAACATTACGAAATCACCACATAGTATTTTTTAATACCAATACCTTAACCAAGAATACTATAAAAAACAATGTTATTTTTAACAGAAATTCTTGTTATCCGAAACGGCTTCCCCCGATTATTTCGGTTAACGGAGGTTTTACTGTACTTATATGCCTGATCAGGTCTCTGATCAGGCATATAAGTACAGTCTAGACATTTAACCATACATAGTTTTCAACTTTAATTTTCTATATGTACTTTGTTTAATTTGTTTTAATTGCTTGTTCTTGATTTTTAGAATTCAAATACGGAGTATATGTCTACAAAATGCCGAATAACGAAGCCAGAACCACCAAAACCTGCCACGAATCCATTGCAATTTATAAAAGTAGCGCCTTGTCCTCTTTTCCAAAAAGCCCACGAACAAATAAAAAAAGTAGAGGAAATAAAAAGAGAAGAAAAAGAAATGAGAACAGAAATTGAAGATTGGCAAACGGTAACATGATGTTAAATATTTAAAAATGTTATTGATTCGTTAGAAATAATACTTTCTGGTTAAACTAAGCATTCGGGCAATAACTCGAACTCATTAACAACTAACAAATCTATTTTTATTTTCTTTCCAGAATCTTGACAACTGGAAGAGTAGCAGAAGAAAAAGGCAAGAACACATCATAGAACGAGTAGTAGAAGTAAAAAAACTTACAGAACAAGAAGAAAGTGAAAAAAGCAGAAGAAAAAGTAAAACATTTAATGAAATGATGGAAGAAAGGTAAGTGTTCTATGGTTCTATAAATAAATTAAAGGGTATAGGAAAAAAACGGATATGTCATTTCTTTTCACAACTGAGTAAATTGAATTTTAATGTTCAAAACCAATTATTTTTATTTCAAAATGGGATTATAAACAATAGTTTACATAAAACAGAAGTTAACATTATTATAAAGTATAATAACTACAGTTTTTTTGGTTTACAAAAAGTAAAGTGGGATTTATTGTAAAACATCTGCATCACACACAGTTTTGCAGGAACAAAAGTAGCAATGTCACCTAAAAGAGACAAAAACCAGCCGTTTTTATTGTTGAACAAAAAAAAATGTATTTTTTAATGTTTATTTATTTATTGAATAAATAATTTAATCTTACTGTTAGAGTTGAGCCAAGTTCTGGAAAAATGTCACTGCTTTTGGACTGCAAAAGCACATAAGACTCATTAGTTTGTTAAACTTAGCCTTTGGAATTGGTAAAGACCTGTAGCAAAAATTTTAAAAAATGAATAAATCTCATTTTTATTTAAAAGTTTCTTATAACTTTTCGTATACTGGAACAGGCAGCAAAAATTGATTTCCAATCCAGTACCATGTTTTGTGACACACTCACCATAACAAATGGCTATGGTTGGGAACGGGAATGCCTAATGGCTTCGTCAAACTCTTCCGGTACCTCAAAGAGTCTCTTCAAACCCCACAATCCTACATTTTTGTCACACTAAAAATAGAAATGGGAAAAAATAGGCAGAGTCACAGAAAATTTGCAGTTGTTCAACATGGCCTTGTAAGTAATTATTGATAAAATGGAGAAGAAGAGATGTAACTTTATTTGATCCTTTTTTAACCATTCATTCGTTATAGGTATAAAAAATAGACTGACCAGAAGAGAGGACAGGTACATTAAAGGCATACATAGACAATTGACGTTTATAGTACACATCTTTAGTGGCAATTGTTGGAATAAAATTTTTTTTGAAAAATCAATGCAGATAGCTTCCATTCTGTTGTCTTTTTTGCAGATTTTTTGGCTTGCCTTTTCCTTGAATAGAACGCTTCAGCCTTTCTTTTATAGAAATCGTTCATAGTTAATTATATAAGTTTATCAGTATCAGTCAAACTTTTAAGCTTAATTTGAAATTCATCACACGTTGCGCATGTGTCACTTCTGAGGTATCCAAAAGCAATTAAATTCCTTATTAAAAATTGTTACGTACGTTTCATATGAGACTTGAGCATTTAGATGCTTTCCTTTCAAAAGGTTAAACATTTTTTTGTGAACTAAGTCTTTTTTGTATTTTTCCGACTATAGTGGCTCTGACGACCCTTAAAACTTTTGATGTAGTCACATAACCTTTTGTAAAGGCGTCCAACTTCCTATGTGTTACACTATGCTTTCCACGTCTGTCCTTAGGAGCTGCACCACACCAAGAGGCTTTCCTTTATATATATTTTATTTTTTGTAATCCCATGAATGGAACAAAAAGCTTTGGCATACACTGGAATATCACAATCGCGAACTCGAACTCGATACTCATAACTTTCATCATGAAAACTTTCGGTATTCTCGTTTCGACGAGGCCTTCTATGCTGGATAGGTAAGACCGCAATTAAACCAGCCAAATAATAATTTTGCTCATCGTGAGAGCGCAGAGCATTAACATTTCTCAATATCTCTTTTCAGAAAGCACTTCAACTTTAAAGCAGTTACAAGGCTGTCCAACTTCAACATTTTAGAGACCTCTGGCACCCAGCCGGTAGTCTTCCTTTTATTTTGAAGACAATTTTGTTTTCAACGGACCTCTCCGAATCACTATTAGCCATAGTCGTTTATTACTAATCACAGTAACAAACAAGAACTTACACTTTTGCGGTTACAATAATACTGACATGCTTCTTAAAAATGAATATTGCATCAACCGGTTTATTTACATGGTATCGCTGGTTTGTTCCCCTGGACGTTTGGACTAAGCTAGTTTTTGTTAGGTACGCTATATTTTAGACTTTGTTAGATTGATGTGACTTTTAGACATTGTTTTCCGCCATACTACGGTAGTTTACCCCAGTCACAGTATAGTGCTTTAAATACTGTGCCCCAGTTTTTAGTACTCTAAAATATAGGTCGTCATTCAAAGAATTTAATGGAGTCTACCGAGACTTTCAATAGAAAGTGACATATCTGGTTTTTCCCTGTACAGTAGAACCCCTCATATCCGACACTCACGGGACCGGGCCGTGGTCGGAACGGCCAAAAGGTCGGATATGCCGAGGAATAATAAAACACGTTTTTCGGGTAAAAAAGCCGTATATTGCACTAAACTATTAGTACAGAACTGTACAAAATACCCACTCAATACACATATGTAGTGCTCATTTTTATATTACAGTAACAACGAAAAATATTATAAATACATACAGTACTGTACTGTTTAATCAAAAAGGCAAACAGTTAGAAGAAGTCCTTAATACTCTTTTGCTTCAATTTACCCAATCTTGATTTAGCTGAAAAATCACGCCATTTCTTTGCCCACAACACGTCCATAGGTGTAGCTCTCGGGTCCTGCTCCAAATATTTCAACACTACGTCAAATGCGTCTTTAGCCTCTGAATGCGTCACTCCAGTATCACGATCAACTTCTTCTTCTTCAGCGTCGCTATCTTCATTATTTGCGCTTTGAACTGCAGCAACTATTTCGTCATCATTGAGTTCTTCATTTGTAGACTCAGCCATGTCAGCTTCGGTCAGCCATTTCTCCACATCTGTCAGCTGCAGCTGGACACCGTGTTGCAGTTCCTGCAGGTCTTGAAGAGTTTCTGTGACGTCGTTTTCTTCAGCTTCAAGGTTAACTTCCATTGATGATGTGGGCTCATCATCGTCCTTATCAGCACTATCGCTTTGTCTTAATGATGGCCAAATTTTCTTCCACGATTTTTGAAGAGTTGTCTCTTTCATTTCATCCCATGCAGAAGCGGCGGTATAGATGGCGTCTTTTATGTTTAACATCTTCATGGCCTTCAATAGTGAGCAGCCTCCTTCTGTTTTGTCCAAAAGAGACCCGACATATTTTTCCCGGTACCGTCTTTTTACCCACTCGATTACGCCTTGGTCCATTGGCTGGATTAATGGGGTGACATGTGGAGGTAAAAACATCGCTTTTATGTTGCCTTTCTTCAAGTCATGCTCTGGGGGATGGCTTGGTGCATTATCCAGCAACAACACAGCTCGAAGTGGCAGGTTTTTTGATTTTAAGTGTTTTTTAACAGCGGGCACGAATTCAAGAAAAAACCATTCTCTAAAAAGAGCACAATCCATCCAGGCAGATGATTGATTACGGTAATACACGGGGAGTGTTGCCATATTGAGATTTTTAAAAGCTCTCGGCTTCTTAGATTTGCCGATAACAAACAACGGCAGTTTATGACTGCCACTGGCGTTGCTACACGTAGCAATTGTTAGTCTATCCTTAGCTAGCTTTGTACCCAAAACGGGCTCATTTTTAGAAGCAAGAGTAGATTTTGACAACATTTTATAGTTCAGACCGATCTCGTCTACGTTATATACTTGTTCGGCTACAAGATTACTATCCGACACCAACTTTTGAAACTTTTCTACAAAATCTTTTGCAGCATCGTCATCAGTAGACAAATTTCACCCGCAATAACAACATGTCTAATGCCGTGGCGAAGCTTCCAGCGGTGAAACCAACCTTCGCTTGCCTGGAAAGTCTCAACATCTCCTCCCAATTTTTCAAACAGCTTTACGGCTTTTTCTTTTACAAGAGGCCCCGACAAAGGAGTCCCTTTTCGCCGTTCTTGGCAAAACCAAACCCAAAGAGCTTCGTCAACGAGTTCTAACTTAGGTTTTTTTAACATTTTCCGATTTTTAAGAGCATCTTCCGTTTCAACGGTCATAGAATAGGTTTCGATGTCTTTGCGGTTTTTTCTCCAGTCTTTAACTGTTGTCACGCCGACCCCTAGCTCTGCGGCTAATTTTACTAGTGACTCACCACGGTCCAATCGTTGGAGCACTTCAAGTTTTCAAGATGCAAATTGTGACCATAAACTATTGTTTAGAAAAAACGCAAAGTAAAAATACGAGTACTTTTTCATCTATTTGTCATCTAGTAACCCCCACCTATGTCTTAAAAGCTTCAGATATCTGCGATAAATTTTGCCGTAAAATCGATGATTTTTGCATAACCACACTGGGCTATATACTTTAAAACTATATCGAAGGTGAATTCTTATGTATTTTATTTATCTCTGAGGTTGAAAATGTGCAATGTAATGTGAGATGTAAAATGACCTACAGAAAATAAATAGTGTTACGAGTTTCTGGTTTCAAAGGAGAAGATATTACTATTTGAAAGGCAATACTTGCGTATTGGATATTTTTAAGCCAACATATATATTTTCCGCATATTTTATAACATCGATGTAGTTCTCTTATTTGGTTATTTTCAAAAATGTAGGTACTCATAGTTTTTAAAAATCTGCTTGACAATTTTAGGTTGTTTAATCAATGTTGACTCATATATTAGCTCTCATTTCTTTGTAAAGAAAAATAACGTTCAAATAATGCCATCAAGATAACTTGGTTCCTGATCTTTGCCGAATCTGTTTATATGATCTATAAAACTCGCACCAAGACTCGTAATATAATAAATATATGTAAATATTTGTTAACTTTACAGTCATTACTGTTAGTTTTTACATAAACTGTTGCAAGCATGAATTAAATTAGGCCAGTAAAGAAAAAATCAACTGAAAAAATCTTATACAGGTTTTTGTGGGTTATAAAAGGTATAGGAAGGATAGCCAGTTGCGCTCCCAGGGGTAGTTTTGGGAGCTAACTCCCCTCCCCCCAGGGCACAATTCCGACACTGTTACTCACAAATTTTAAGGACTCAAAATAGAGGTAGCATAAAATAATTTCGGTGCCCAACCAAACCCCCCCTTCACAGGAAAATTTTGGGTGCGCCACTGAGGATAGCTGGTCACAAACCCTTGAAGACAAAGTTAATTTTGATTTGTTTTTTTTTTAATCATAAAAATCATATACATCGGTTCAATTATAGTTCAATCATAAAAAGTGAAAAAATTAGTTTTTGTCTATCAAACGTTTCTGATATATTTGAGAGAAAAATTATCCAAATAAAAACTGTAGACTAAACAGATACCGTATTGCTCTTTTTTGTAATTTAAAAACAACATAAGATTGGACAGCTGTACTAGAACCCCAAAAAGGAAGACCAAATCGAAAATGAGACTCGAAAAAAGAAAAATATGTTATTTTGGAAGATAATAAATTGATTTTCTTTGAAACATATCTTATTGCGTAGCAGACCGAGGCTAGTTTCTTACTTAACAAATCGATATGAAGGGACCATTTAAGGTTGCTATCTATAAAAATACAAAGAAATTTTACAGAATCAACTATACTGATCTGGCTGTTAATAAGAAGCTACGATTTAAGAGCTCCATTATAGGAGAATGCTACTGTCTTATCCATGTTAAAAGAGAGTAAATTAGAGTCGGACCAAGTTTTTATTTTAAATAGATCAGAAGTTATAGTTGCATGAAGAGTTGCAATATTAGAATTTCTCCGGATAATACTGGTATCATCAGCAAAAAAAATTTTCCAACGATTTTTAAATTGTCATTTATAAAGATAAGAAAAGTAGAGGACCCTGTGGCACTCCACATACAATGCTTTTGTTACTAGAGTCAGTATCATTTGCTCTAACCAGTTGTTTCCTATTCCTCAAGTAAGATTGGAATAAATGCAAAGAAATACCTCGAATTATGTAGAAATTTAGTTTTTTTGTCGAAATGTCGTGATTTACACAATCAAAAGCTTTGACATAGTCACAAAAAACAGTGGCAGTAGAAAGGTTATTGTTTAGTGCTTGATAGACCTCATATAGTACAGAATACATAGCATCGCTGGTACATTTATTAGATCAAAAGCCGAACTGACTTTGTGTTAAAATGTTGTTTTCAACGAGAAAGGACATAAGTGGGGCTTTTACAAGTCTCTCAATAATTCTAATAGTACCGGTAGTAAGGTTATAGGTCTATAGTTGAAAATATTCGATTTTTCACCACCCTTATGAAGAGGTAGTGATGTGAACTTTAGTTACTTTTCAGTACTGGGAACGATTAGTTACTTTTTGTGTTAGGACTCGTTACTTTGTAACGGTTACTTTAATATATTTACTTTTGTTAAAGTATTAGATAACTAGGTATATATATTTAAAAAAAATAGAAGTAAGCTCATAACTATAAAATTTAAGATAAGGCATGATAACCTGTTTCATGTGTAAGAGACAATAAACAAAAAGAGCAGAAATTTGTAATTATCAAAAAGTATATTCTAAATATAAAAAAAAAATAATTAACAATAGCAATTAAAAAAAAATAAAAAAACTTTTAAAATGTACTTGACTTATTATAGGTTTTCATTGCAGTTTAAAAATAAAATAGTTTCAACATTTTTTTATTTCAAGCGGTTCCTTCGTTCTGTAATGACTTGGGTTGCCTTAGAAAAAACACGCTCACATGGAACGGATGTAGCACTGTACTGTACAAGTACTGACAAATATTTCTTTGCTAATACCGCAAGCCATGGATATATATGGTCTCTTTCCTTCCACCAGAGCAGAGGATTTTGTTTTCTTTCTAAATACGCCTCTTCTGAAAACATTTTTAGTTCAGCAATAGCCACTGCCTTTGGGCTTCTTATAGCGTTTGAAGATTTGACCAAGTTGTCAAAATCTTGCCAAATGATGTCGTCAATTTCTGTACTTAACGTCAGGGATAACTGATGTGTATAATTGAAAGGCTCTGGGGCCGTATCATCTTATTGACTTTTTTTAATTAGCCCAACTAGTTTTTCTTGAAGTTTTTCTCTCTTTAACCTTTTTTAAACAGCCACTGTTATTGAATCCCTTAGTTTTAAATCTTGGATTCAGAAAAGAGGATTTTCCCATTATTGTCCTATTTTCAGGGTTCCCAAAACGTATAGTTATTGAGGCTAGCAATGAATGTATTAACTCTCTTCCTAATTGACTCGTAATTTGAACTCTTATTCGGTCTAAGATGATATTACCCCCTTAATAATAACTTTGGACAAAGTTATTTGTTTTTCAGAACTCATTTCTACAGTAACAACCTCAAATGGTTTTAATATTTTACAGAATTCCTATAATAGTAACCATTCTTCTTCCGTCGGTAAACTTACTGGATTATACAATACAGCAACTGTGGCAGCTAATGGGTTACATAATTTAATTACCCTTTCTAACATATAATATGTTGAATTCCACCTTGTTTGTACATCATTAATTAGTTTTAAAAGAGTAGCAGTGGGATTTGATTAGTGCTTTCAGGATGACTGCTTCTTTTTTCGAGTGGATCCTCTAGAACCATTGTTGGATGTTTATTTTTAAGATGTTTTCTTAAATTTGATATATTTCCGCCTTCATAAGAATATATACCGATGCAAAAATTGCATTTCGCCTTATAATTAGAAGTGATAGCAAACTGTATCCAGATAGCGCTTCTTTTTTGACTTAATAAATCCATAATTAGACGATTATTGTGGTATTTTTTTTTATAAAATAACTTTCACAACATTAACAGACTAGTATCTAAACAAAATCGCACCGAACGTCCGATTGAACATCAACGAACTAATCTGTCGATTATAGAAGCGGGGGAAGTGCACTGCGCACTGTGCATTATGGGCGTGGTACGAGGCAGTAAAGTTATTTTAGTTACTTTGTAACGAAATAACAATGTATCAAAACCATGAACTAGTAACTAGTAACGAGTCTTTTTTCAATATAGTCATCGTTACTTAGATATTCGAAAAGTAACTGTTACTTTGTAACGATTACTTACTTTTTTCGCATTACTATGAAGAGGAATAATATTGGCTGTCTTTAGGCACTCAGGAAATATACCTATTTCAAAGGGATCATTAATTAGTGAGACCAGGACTTCGAACACATTTTTTGAGAGATTTGAGAAAATTTTTATGGGATGTCCGTCAGTACTAGCTTTTGATACTGTTTATTGTTTTGATAAGTTCAGATTTATCAACTGTACTTGGTGATATATTCAGTGACAAAGACGTTTGTAGTAAATTTCTTGATGTACAGTAGTGAACGCATATTCTTGGATGATATGCGGATACCTTTGGTAGTCCAGGGTTTGTGATGTTTTGGCGTAATTGTAATTAAAGGAAATGTCTTATTTTAAATAAATACATATCTAAATAATCACTAAAATTATAGTCTGCGTCCACAGAAGTAGAGTTACACCCACAAGTCAAGCATAAATTTTGGAATTTTTAAAAGTTCTGAGCGGAATAAACTGTAAAAAATTGAAGTCTTGCATAAATTTTGAGACACCCATCACAAGTCCTCGGGACTTCTCCTATACACACGAACGATAGATCTCCTATATATTAGTTATCCGCCAACAACCGATACCCCTTTTATTTGACCCTGGGTTTTGGTTCTTGTATCAATGCTACATCAAACCTTATCATAATAACAGTAATTTCGTTCGAGCTGCCTTACTGTGAAGGTTCGTCATACCCGATTGGGGTCATTAAGACCTATTTGGGGCAAAGAGCCCGCCACTGGGCTCGCCCCTCTGCTCGTTTACTTCATATTTTTATGTGTACACTCGGAAGATAATCATTTCTGAGCGATCTTTTGTCTCATTTTTTCCTACGAGTTGGGACGAAATGTGCGCCCATGCCGTGCCAGGGCTGAGAACTCTGTGGGGCATAGCTTAGGCAACACTCTTGCCCCTGTTCCCTACATCCTATGGCCACAATGATGTTACACTTCGAGAGTGATAATCGCAGAAAAAATCTCATTGTATAATAAGCAAGTAGTGGTGAGGTTGTTTGGCGATTTGCCGATTGAGCATGGTGTATGTTCGGAATTGATCGGCAGATGTCTATTTGGTTACATCTTAACACCCTATTGACACCTATCCTATTTTCCTACTCTCTTGCGTACAGTTCTACTTAGTATACAGCTCCTCCGCACAGTCCCGGGCCGAGACTGTGTTGTTGTTTACTTTGTCAAGAATATAAACCGTATGTCTTTCATTGTAGGAGTAGGGGCAGACATAAATTTAATATTCCTTTATACGAAGACGATTCAAATGATTTAAGCGATTATGGAATTGGAAGCAGCAGCTCGAAAACGAATAGCATTAAAGATGTTGATACAGACGATAGTAGCAGTATACTGGTAAGTTATTTTAAAATAATTTTTAGCAGACTTAGGCAAATATGCATATTCAAACGTAAAGTAGGGGACAATACCGTACGTTGGGACACTTCTAAATAAAGCGCATGTTAATATTTTTTTTTTTTCAATAAATCAAATAGATATTGACGCATACCTGTTTCGTATAAGTATCTAGTACACATCCATAATTATTTAAGTTTCTATTTTTATTATAAATACCTGAAAAATTATTTTTTAGTTTTTGTCCCAAGGTACAATACCATTCCTTACCTTTAGACACATAGGCATATACTATAGGGCGAGAGGGTAAAAATACAATAAATCAACAGAAATAGAAACAAATTATCTTTATTATGAAATTTGTGATTACAAGATTAAAGCTTACCTTACCTAACCTATTCCATATTATAGTTTGTAAAGTCTACCGTAAAGTTTGTTTGTTTGTTTTTGTACTTAAGATAGCGTACCTCTAATACACCATATATTTTTTAATTTCCACAACATAAAAATGTTCTCTCTTTCTACCGATAACGCGAACTAATGCATATCCCCCTTCTCGTATGTTTTCTATTTCCATGTGTACTCCCTTTAGCATGTGTTCTTTCTTCAAAAAATACTCTTGGAAACACAAGAGCGGGAGGAATAGAATTATCTATTGTGTTTGCGCCTGCAATCATTGTTACGTTTATGCCTCTTTACCCTGACGTCATGTGTCCTACTTTTTTTCATTCCTTTTATGAGTATGACATTGTTTGGATTATTGGGACCGTGCAAGTTCGGAACAGCGACACCTGGTGTCGTAAATTAGCAAAATTTACTGCGCTTTCATGTTAGATCGAGGTTATCGGATAACTGTCAAGAACGTAGCCAAAAAATAATAAGAAGAAAAAGTAAGATTGAGGTTATGTCAGTATGTTATTAAAAGGTAAACGTTGTATGTAGTTTAAATACAAATAAAGATATTATTAAATTACAGCATTACTGTTAATATGGATGCAATAATAAAAACTGGATTTGAGAAAGTAAATCACCAAATAACTTTTCAACCAAGCACTGAGTCAAATGGAAAAGCTCTAGTAGTGGCAAATGTCAAAAAAGAATGGAAGAATTATGTGGAAGAATTAAGAAAAATAAATTACCATAAATAATGCTAATGCATAAATTAGCAGGTTAAGCCCATGGTATCATCATATTGGTTTGAACAATTAATTCTTTCCCTGTAAAATTTTGGACAGCGAGTATATCTTAACGCATCTTCAGAAAAACTTGAACTTGATGCATTTTTGTAAACTTCAAAAAAATAAAATTTAAACATTAAACATGATTTTTAGGTTAAAATGAACTCTAAGTGAGTGTTATGAAACTAAAATTTACACTTAAAAGTGAACTTTTATTTATTATTTATTTCAAACTGACTTTAAAATCGGGCGCAAGAATAATGCATAATTTAGGTTATGTTACTTATGCTTTTTTATGATATAAATCCACTTTTCTCTTTGTAGTAATTTGTGCTTCGAAGTTGGAAACGAATAAAACTTAAATTGACAATTTTTTGTTGTATTTTTATAATTTATAACATAGCATTTCCTAAATCCCATTTTCTTCAGTGACAGAAGGTGTAAATAAACAAACGAATATGAAATATGACAATTGACAATATGAATTTATGAAATCTATGAAATTTGCAGTAAAAAGTGCAAGATTTCTCCGCTACTCGCGCACGATCGTTTCTCGTATCACAACCAAGTACTTGCACGTCGCCAATAGACAGTTGACATTCCAGTTTCGTCTACGTTATACACTCTTTCTGGAGTAAAATATTCTGTTTCCATCAAACCTTTGAGTTTGGCAAAAAAGGTGGAAACATTGTACTTATTGAAACTAGTAGAACGGGATAAACTGTTGCCTGTGGTTTACATAGAGACAGAGCATCCTTGTGAATTTATAATACCAATTCTTTCCTGTCAAACCATTTACAATTCAGGATTCAAGAACTTTCTTTTTTTTTACCTTAGCAACATACACGATTGATATCGCAATTGATTTTATGAGATATAGATATATGAGATTATAATATGCCTTTATATGTGGATTTCGAAACTTTACACTGCACAGCAGGCCGGATTGACTAGTTGTTTTCCAAAACCAAAGATGCTGCTCTTTCAATATCAGTACTCTGGACTTACAACTCACTTCACTCCTTATTGGCTTCTAGACATCAAAAAATAAAAATAAAACTTTAGTACCGTATCTAGGGACAGTCCCAAGGTAAGGTCTATAACACAAAAATACAGGATATGACACATTTCCAAAACAATCCTATTTATAATTTAGAGGTTAAGTTTTTATCAATTTTTATTGTAGTCATACAGTCATACTTCACATATATAATAGGTATTACATATAGAGCCAAATAATACTCAAGAGTACTTACTTTATTTTTATGATAACATAAAATTCTTTAAAATATTTTACTTTTGCACCAGCAAAACAACACTTTCTTAATAACAGCCAAAGTTAATGGCGATAGAGAGGTATAAGTTTAATATAATTACCAATAGGTGGCAGTTTATGTGTGTCCCAAAGTGCATGACGTCCTAACGTACACTACTCTCCCCTATATACACATAAACATGCGAATATATAAAAACAGCTATTAGTTGTAATTTAAGAGATTTTTTGTTTACTATTTTCTGAATAACATTTGAAATAAACCATAATATTTTCAGGACGAAAAAGACAATCACACATTCGATTTATCTAGTACTAAAGGAAATTCCAGTACCTCAAACCAAAGTCAAAGTGAAGATGAAACCAACACCACCAAAAATGAACCCATATCTGTAAATAAAAACAATACGTTTACAAAAACATACACGAGTACCTTGTCTACTAGCCTAAGTTCCAATAAAAGTAAACCTGTTCCCTTAAGTAAGCCTTCCATATTTGAAACTAATTCATATCAAGAACCTAAAGAAAAGCAATATACTTACGAAGGAGCTATTCAAGATTACCGGTCGAGAATCCAAACGATCAATTCAGAAGATTCTAGCAGATATAAGCCTAAAGAGCAAACTGATGTATTTCTTCCTAAAGGAGAAATATTTAAGAGAAAGGGATTGTTTGAGAGCAATATAGAAATTAGTCAATTAGAGACTCCTTCTTCTAGAAGATTATCAGAAGACTTCGTTAATACTAGAAGCATTAAAGACAGACTGAAGAGCTTTGAACAAATCAACGATCAATATCCAAAAACTGTAGATAAAAGTGAAATACAAGTCTCCGTAAGACAAAGGCTTCAATCATTGAACAAATCCAATGAGACTGATTCTACAAACAACAACCTCACCCGAACAAATATCAATAAAATATATTTATTGAATAAATCAAATAGCTCTAATTCCTTCGAATCCAAGAAATCTTGGAACAGTGACGACAGATGCTTTAGCCCTGAAACCGAACTGTATGTTAACAAACTGAATATGTTCAACAGGGATTTAGATAATCTTATGATTAACAAATCTCTGGACGAAAGTTATGCGCCCTCTATATCTTCTACCGAGTTAACTTGCATTTCTTCTGACAGGGAAGATAGTGGTATTCACACAGGTGATGTATCCTGCTCTGTCAGTCAAGCGGATGAATCGGTAGATGTAGAAATAGCTTCCAACATAAATGAAAGACTGAACGAAGATACTCAATTTGAGAAGGATCTCGCTCAATTTCAAGCTGATATGGAAAAACTTAAACCTGTAGATAAAAATGAAAATTGTTTTAATCAAAACAAGGAAATTACACAAGGTAGTGATATCATTCTTATGCCTATTACTAAAGAAATTATTAATACTACAATCGAATTTCTAGAAACGTGTAGACAAGATTCCTCAGATAATTTAACACCGCAAGAACCAATTAACAAAAATAAAGTAATACCCTTACCAGTAAACAAACCAAAGCCTGTAATATACGAAAACGTCGATGTTAAAAATTTAGGACCTGCATTGGATTTCATTACGAGTGATTTCGTTTTGGATGCTTCCTTCTCCGATTTCAACCCTCCTCATATAGAACCTCCCAAAGTCAAACCTCCTCCTCCTCCTCCACTAGAAAAACCAGTGCATGATTCGGTAAAACGCGCAAATTCAACAAAAAGAATAAAGAAAGAACTTGATATTAAAAGATCAAGTTTTCTTGGACTAGATGAACCCAATAACGATGAAGATATCTCTTTGGAGAAACCACCAGACTTGAGCAAGTATTTTCCAAATATGCAGAAGCTTGACACAAGTATTGGGAAAAAATTTCCAGAGGGGGTACTAAGTAAAGTCGAAAGTCAGGATTCTGGTTTGGATTTGGATAAGGGAAGGTTATCTAGTGATACGTGGTGTAGCAGTGTTGGTGATTCTGGTACACCTAGTCACGAAAGGCAAGTTAGTGAGGTAAGTCAACATATGTATTGTCTATTTACTAACAATAAGATAAGTAAAAAAGGTATATACTAAAACAATTTTTAATTGAAGGTGATTACTTGGTAACATCGTACTTAACGAAGCCCTTAACGATAACTTTCCAACGAAATCGTGTTGAAATTATCAATTTTGCAGAGGCGTACCAAAAAAAATTTTAATTATTTATTTAAACACATAAGTAATTATGTAAAAATTAAATCAAAGACCGATTTAATTATTAAATTATCATGTCTCTTTTAACAGGTATTTTATAGTTGTCTAACAAAATAAAATAAAATTTTATTCTTATTAGAGAGTAACTAATACAGAACTTCAAAAAACAGAAAACTTTGGAAAATAATTTTTTTTTCATTAGACTAAAAACAATCTGCAATTTTAATTACAAATCATTACACATCTTTCTCTATTTATAGAATTGCTGTGTGCTGTAAACGTTATATTTGTTTTTTTTTTTAACTTAATTTGAAAGTTTGTGTTTATTTGTTTATATAAATATGAAAATATATTATGAAGTTCATATAAATTAAAATGAAGTAAGCTAAACTATTATCATATAAATGCGTTTATATAGCAGTGCAATTTGTTTATTTCAGTAAATTCTCGAAATATGAAATGAAGATGGCACTAACTACTAAAGAGTTAATAGCTTTGTTAGAAGAAGACTCAGATTGTGAAAATGCCACTTAATGTAGTTTATTTGCCGCCGAGATTAGATTAGAAAGTTTCTGATGTAGAAGACATTGATCTTCTTCTTCTTGTTCCTTCTAGTTTGTAGGCTTTAAAGCCTGTTTCTTCTTCAATATTAGCTTCCTAAATTGTTTAAATTGTCGCACCATCTTTTTCTTGGTCTGCCAATACTTCTTCGTCCATTTGGTGACTTATCTCGTGCGATTCATACTATTCTATCCTCCGCCATTCTACTGATGTGTTTGTTCCACTTTTGTTTTCGTTTTGTCACTCATCCATTTCTGTCGTCTATATTGCATGCTCTTCTTATGTTTTTGCTTCTCTTCCTATCCAACAGACTTCCCCTTGATATTCGTCGAAGTATTTTAATCTGTGTTGTTTCTAGCAGTCGTCTCGTTTTAGATGTGTCAGGCCTTGTCTCAGCCGTGTATGTTAATATAGATCTAATTCCTGCTTTATAGACTCTTGTTTTTTTGTCTTGTCTTAGGTGTTTGTTCTTTCAGATTGTGTCATTAAGAAAACCCGCCGCTTTACTTGCTTTTAAGCTTTGCTGTCGTACTTCTTCTTCAACATCTCCGTAATTAGTTATATCTATTCCCAGATATCTAACCCTTGCTTTTGGCTTTATTATTTTCCCATCAATTTCGATTTTACACCGTAGAGGGTATTTAAATGTCATACATTTGTATTTTTCTGCTGATATTATCATATTGTATTTCTTAGCTGTTGTATTGAAGATATGTGTTAATCTTTAGAGCTCGTCTTCTGTCTCGGTTATTAATGCTGCGTCGTCTGTATAACATAATATTTGGATTTCTTTGTTCCCAATTCTGTAGCCATGACTTTTACGTACTGCTTGTATTATTTCGTCCATTAATATATTCCTTATTAATGGTGACTATTATATTAAGTCACCTTGTCTGACTCCGCTTTGTACTGGTATACACTGTGTTAGTTTTCCATTTATCTTTGCCTGTATTCGATTATGGAGGTAGATGCTTTCGATGGTTTGTATAATATTGATTGGTATGTTCCTTTTATACAGTAGGTGTAAGAGGTCTTCGACTTGGATGCGATCGAAAGCCTTTGTCAGCTCTATAAAACATAGATATGATGGATATTCTGTGATTTGTCTTAGTACAAATACGGCGTCTACGCAGGATCATCCGGATCTGAATCCTTGTTGTTCATCTGATAAAGTTGTTAGTTTATTGATTTTGTTGGTTGGGACTTTTGTGGTAAGCTTAAGTGCGGTGTTCACTAGTTTTATACCTCTATAATTGTTGCGGTCTTCTTTATCTCCTTTCTTGACCATTGGTATCATTATGCTGTTTCTCCATGAGTCTGGTATCTTACAGTGCAATATTAATTGTTGTATAAGTTTTGTCATCTCTAGGGTTAAACTTTCTCATCCGTATTTTAGAAGCTCGTTGGTTATTCGGTCTGGTCCTGGTGACTTTCTATTTTTGAGTGAATTTATGACTATTTCTACTTCGTGAAAACTGATTTCTATTTCGTCTCTTAGTTCAGATACGTTATTGTGCTGATTATTATTTTCCTTTGCTTTCAACAGTTCCGTCAGGTATCTTTCCCATTCGTTTGCTGGTATATTATTGTATTCCCTGAAGAGGTTGATGATAATATTATTTGTGAAGAATCAATAAAATCGGATATTGCAGGTACATATGAAATATAAGTGATTGGGAATTCTAACGATTCTGATATTCCTCTGAACCACAGATAAAACGTCCAAAGAAATAACCAGACAAAAATAGTAAATCCAAATTTATCTCAAGTTGTAATAACGGATATTCTTTAGTGCTCAGTGGTAATTCAACATCAGTCTGATTGATATTTAGACAATATAAAAGCCAACCATGTAGGCAAGTCATATATTGAAGTTTTTTCACTCTTTTTGATAAAAAAGTAATTGAGAATAACCTTCACAATTTTGAAATGAATAACATAGATTTAAAAAAATTATTAGCATGTGTATATTATCTGGTTTACACTCTGCTTCAAGTTGATATGCATTGGTCAAAGGATGAGGATAAAGAAGTGCATATTATAGCATAAGCAGATAGCAGATAAAGAAGTGCATAGATTTATAATTTTAATTTATAATAGTGAAGAAACCGCTACATCAGTGCCAGTACATGGGCGTCAATCTAAATTTGCTTTACCAGATGAAACCAGATTCGACAATATTGGCCACATTATAAAAAGAGATGATAGTACAAAAATGTAGGATGTACAAAAGTAATACTATTTATTTATGTAAAAAGTGCAAAATGCATCTACACCCCGAATATTTCGAAAATTTTTACCTTAAAATTTAATTTACGTTTAAGATACAATATGTTCCTTTATTAAAAATTGTACTGTTTACATCTTTGTGTTTTTAATCCAATCTAATAAATTAATTGTCAAATTTCTCTTTGTATATTAAGCGGCCGTTAAGGGTTTAATACTATATTAAGAATAAACTGGCATTAAATTTTCTTTACTTACCTCAAAACTATTTTAAAGTTAATAATAAAGTATATTTAATAAATATATTCCCAATAATACTCTACGCCCATGCACATATGAATAAAATCTGGAAGATATCATATTTCATAAACTTCAATAAACTAAGATATCATATTTGTCTAATTAACATTCTTTCTAAAAACGTAAATATATATAGACAGATCCCGGTAAGAATTTACTAATGAAATTTTTCATGGTTGCCGCTACCGTTTAGTTCAATTTGTAGATTAGTCACCTTTTATTGAAAATTGTCTGACTATATCAAACATTGCATCTTATAATTTTTCTTCCAAATTCCTTTCTTAACATATTCTTATAATAACTTTTTTTCCTATGTATTAATAATCTGTAATAACATTACAATAAGTAAATTGTGTAATTATTTTACAACTAATATGCAAAAATTTGTCCCATGACAATTTCCTGTTTATATTTTAATTTTTTTTTATTATTTATATCACAATTTATTACAATCTGCTTTTTTAATAAGGTAAGCATTAAGTAATATTTATGTCGGTTAAACTATTGACATTTATAGTCGCAATTTGAGTTGTGCGTTAGAAACGCACAACTCAAATTTTGCAAGAAAAATGACACCAAAAGTGCAAAGATTAGCAAAGATACAAGGGCTCTCATGGAATTACGACGAAACCTAAGCGAGAACGAAAAGGGAAACAAAGAAGAATATAAAAAACTAAATAAAAGAATTTCAGCGGAAATTAGAAAAGATGTAAGAAGATTAATACTAATGTAATTACTCAAACAGTAGAAGAGAACAAAGGTTTAAAGATAATAAAAAGAAAACTTACGCAAAGTAAAAAAGAAATATACAAGCTGAGAGATAAAGACGGAAAGGCAACAACAGATAAACAAAACATTCTGAAAATAACTAGAGAATTTTATAAAGACCTCTATACCAGCCAAAGACCACAAGACAATTTCCCGACACGAGTAAAGACTCTCATAAATCAGGGATCGGAAATACTTTTACCCATTACTGTGTCAGAAGTAAGAGCAGCTTTAAAGGAAATGAAGAACCATCGATCGCCTGGTGATGATGGACTCGTTATCGAGGCAATAAAAGCAGGTGGAGAAATTTTATTAAAATCAGTAAGCGAACTGTTTACTAAATGCTTACATGCGGGTACGATTCCAAAAGACTGGAACAATGCAGTAATAGTCTTGTTACACAAAAAAGGCGATATTACTAAATTAGAAAATTATAGACCCATCAGCCTCTTGACACATATGTACAAACTCTTTATGAAAATCTTAACAAAGAGGCTAACACCTAAACTTGATTTCTATCAGCCCAAAGAACAGGCAGGCTTTAGGGCAGGATATGGCACAAATGACCATTTGCATACCATAAAGATCTTAATAGAAAAGTGCATCGAGTACAACATACCACTGGTTCTTGCATTTGTCGATTACGAGAAGGCTTTTGATTCTGTAGAGTTTGAAACAATACTGGAAGCCCTAAATCAAAGCCGAATAGATTACAGGTACACGACACTAATCAAAAACATCTATCAGAACGCTACATCAAGTATACGACTGCACGAAGACACAGAAAAATTCAGCTTAGGTCGAGGAGTTAGACAAGGAGACAATATTTCACCAAAATTGTTCACGGCAGCTCTAGAGTCAATATTTAAGGGTACTCAATGTCAAGATATGGGCATCAATATAGATGGAGAAAGATTAAATCACCTAAGGTTTGCAGATGATGTTGTATTAATCGCAGATAA